CCTGTATACCGACGGCAAGGTTTGGAGACAGAAATAAACTATATATAGTTCCGAGTACAGTAGATGAGCCCTGTTCCTCGTCACAGCTGATCGAGGCGGCCGTCACAGGCACAACAGCTCCGTCACGGCTGCTTACCTGGGAAGAGCAATTTGTTTGTGTACCTCACCGTAACCACCTTTCATTCATTCTGTAAACGTAGGTAATTAACTCTTGTTTGAAAATTTCCCGGTCGAACCTCACCTAATTTGTTGAAATAGGTAATTAGTGATTAATACTCTTGGTTATGTCCCCGTGTCCGAAATGGGAACCTATTTAATGGTATTCCCACCAAACAAGTGTTGGTTCAGGTGTCCCCCTTTGGTAAACAGCCCCGATTAGGCCTCTCCTCTGCTCCCAGGGCCCGGATTGGAACCTATTCATTGATTGGGGTAATGACGTGAAATTGGTTCGTATCAAAAGTAACATTAATGGCCAGGTAAGCGGCGGTAGTATTCAGGCAGGCGTCGGTGTAAGCGGAGCGCCCAGACATTTACTAACAAATGTGTAATGATCACAGTTCCGAGACCTCCTTTTTCTTACTTTATTTCTGATTCGGTGCAAGAATAGAGCTGCAATAAAAAGATAATCGTCTATTTTTCGCAACTCGTAAGCAGTAGGAGAGGTCTTATTTTTAATTGTTTTGTACAGTTCTTTCTGTATGTACGTGATGCTTGTGTGTGTGTGCACGCAAGTGACCTTCGTGTACGTGAGAAGTACAGCAGTGTGCACGTGAGCTGTAGTCACAAGTGGCATTGCCATCACCGTGAGGAAAGTAAGCGTGGGTACGTGAGGCGTTTAAGTACGTGACCATTTGCAGAATGTCGCAAGCTGTTGCCATGAAATCTTACCGAAGGTCTCGAGCCTCGGAAAGAACGCCGACGGCCCAGCAGAAGGCGGCGAGGGAGGACGTGGGCGCCCGCATCCGAACGCCACGTCTGGCCGACATAGTGGCCGTTCGCGGCGTAATTGGCCCGGCGGGACGCGTAGGCCTCGGCAGAGTTCCGTTTCGGCGGAAAGCCGAGTTTCATCCAACGGGACTCATTGTCTGCGCCTGTAACGTACCCGGAGATAAACATTAAAGGCAGCCGGAAATGAGGTCATGAATGGATGGCGAGCAGAGCCAGATTTGAAAGGGATGAAGGAAACGGTTATCCCCCAAATTATTGACGAAAAAAATCACTTCCTCAGCTTTGAGGGCCAACAATGTATGTGGTTTGCGGGCGCGCACGTGGCGGAGCTAACCTTTGGATGCAGGTGTGCAGCTTTGTAGCGAGGCGGCTGCAGGAAGTCGCAGCCAGGAACTGAGAGCTGGCTGGCCGCTCAGGAGGGTTCCGGGGTCCCCGCAGGCCGTGGCCCCCGCGCCCGACGCCGTTCCGAAGGGGCCTGGTAAGCTACAAGGGCGGGGGGACGCACTAGCATCGGTGCGCCCGTAATCTTCATATCTTTTGTTGTGAAATGCATTATTTTTGCCATGTGCTCTTGTTAGACGAAGAATATCGCCATTGGCGGAACGTGTACTTGAAGAGCGCTGTTATTGGCTGCTCGTGTGCCGTGGCCACGCCCCGCGAGAGGGGCGGAGCCAGCAGGGCCCCACCCCATGACCTGCTGACCCGCCGCCCTCTGCGCATGCGTCGCCACCTGCACACTTGTGAATGATAGCAAAAGTGAGCGGGCGGGGACGGCGTGGCAAGCGCGCCATTCCGCGTGAAATGAGCCGTTAGTCAGAACGGTACCATCGAGGAGAACACACGCGTAGCCCGGAGCAGGCCCGCTCAGCCTGCCGCCCGCGACCACCGCCCTCCACACACACCGCGAAAGTGATATTTCCACATTGTTGGCCGGCCAGTTTTTGCTTGTGTGCCCCTGGTGCCAGTGCGGGTAGACCAACGCCTCACTCCGTCCCCGCCCGGCCCCGCAGCCACAGCACCTCCACCTCCTCTCCGACTTCTTGTCTAGTCAAGTCCGGTGGTGCCCGGCTTAGGGTAGCGCCACCGGCGTCCCCTTCCTCAGTGCCAACCCCGCCTGCCTTCTATAGGCCTACGTGTGACAGCATATACAGCTTCCCCTTTAACAAGAAATTAGTTGAGTGACTGGAGTTGTCAGTGACGAAGAACTTGTAGGAGACCTCCGCTCTCCTTTGTGGACAGTGCTGTGTCAGATAACGCTGATGGATACCTGCGCCAGTGCCTTACAGTGCCTAGCCAGTGCTTGTGTGTTCCCCCCGCAGTGCATACCCCAGAGGCGCGTGCGTGGATTCCCTTAACTAGAAACCGAGCCTCCTCTCCGTCCACCCATTGTGACTTTCGCCTCGCGTGTTAAAACGAATTTTCTCCAATCATTGTATTGCCCTCTTCTCGCTGGATGATATAGTGAGGCCGGAGTGTACATGAGCGCCGACGCCGCGTCTTGTCTGCCTGCCAATGTGCTGCCTCTTGCGAACATCCATGCTCCTTGTTGAAGGTAAGAACTCCTGACACTCCGGGACGATCTGCTGGGTCTGAAGGCTCTCGAAGGAGCTGCTTGGACCAGCTCGGTGCTCTCTCTCCCCCTCTCTCTCTCTTGGACCAGGAGGCAGCAGGCAGACATGCAATCCCCTGCTTCTGTTGACGTTACAAGAATGTGTTAGATTGTGATGGAATCTCAGGTAGGCGAGAGACCAAGCCTGGACGAGCAACGCGGGGCTTCACGTCTGCGTTGTGGGAAACCGGGCGAAGAGGAGTAGGATTAGCTTCTGCAGGAACCTTTCTCTGAGTGAAGGATTTAGATCAGGCCTTCATGACGTGGAATGGTATTGGTAGGCCTAAGTATTGTGTCGACCAGAGTTCGTGCATATATCGGCTAGTTTTATGACTAGGAAATGCTACTTTATGCTCATATGATAATCCGTCATGCGAACCCTGTGATTTTACGAGAAAAAAATGGTGGAATAAATTATCCCATCAGATATCATGATGCTCATTATACCTCCCTGCGATCACGACCCATTAAATTTACCGTCAGATTATCACGTCGCATACCATTAGGTTGGGCGGCCGAGTGAACAAGTAGGTTCACAACCCAGAGGAATCATAATGGGGAGTTTGATCACTTCCTGTCTCCCGAAGCTTGCATGAGGACACCCTTAGCGTGAAGGTATGCTTACGCCAGGGAAATTTGCCTCGTAAAAATAAGTGCGTGTGTCTACATGCAGGTGTTACTAATATGGTTACCTAGCCTACGCTAAATATACCTGGAACTAGGGAATTTCCCCAAAAGAAAAGGGCCTTGTGCTCGAAAGTCCGTATGACGAAACATCATGAAAGAAAAAAAGTAAAAAAAAAAAGTGTGCTTCCTGCAGTCATCCCAGGTACAGCCATAGCACAGTCTGCTTGTACTCTAAGTGTACAACAGGTTCCTTGCCATCACAGGGAGGGAGGGGGAGGGGAAGGGGGGAGTGAAGTGAGAGGACAAATTTGAAAGGGTGTGGCAGTCTGTGAAGGAGGGAACACCACGATAAGAATTATGAAAGTTGCAAGCATGCAATCAGAATACCAGGACGAGATTGATCGCATGTATTTAGAGATAGTAATATCAGCACGTGGGGTAGTCAATCACCACTTTTAGTGGGGGGAGAGGAAGGGAGGACGGGGAGGGGAAGAGGGGGGTATGCAATAAGTGTGAGAGAAAGTGGTAAGTTATAAGGGTACGTAGAAGGACATTGCGGACAGGGACGGCAGGGGGGAAAAGCGGGAAGAATTGAGACCTTTTCGGGGGGGAAAGGGGGGTAGACGAGGGGTCGCCTAGGGAGAAAGGGCGGATATAAGGGGTCGTGTGGGGGAGAAAGGCCAGAGGGGGAGAAGAGAAGACGCTTGAAAAGAGGAAAGAGAAGACGAATGGAGGGAAAAGACGAGGAAGTATCAAAGAAGAAAATAGAGTAAAACGTAAAGAACAGCGGTAGAGGAAGAGAGATCAAGAGAGAGAAATAAAAAAAAGAAAACACGAACGAGTAGCATGGAGAAAAAGATACGCCTTAAAAAGGAGTGACGGGGGGGAAGGGGGGAGAGGGAGAGAAAAAAGGGAGCAGGGCGATAGGGCGTGGCGGAGAGAAAGGAGAAGGTAAAGAGAGAGTAGGAAGGGGGAAGGGGACAGAAAACGAAGGTGTAGCAGGGGGTGGAGCAGTGGGGGGGGGGTAAGTAGGTGTGGTAGGGAGAAAGGGAAGTGAGAGGGGGGGTTTTAAGAGGGGGGGAGGAGGGGGAGAGGAAAGATGGGGGGATGTTAAGAGGGGAGGGAGGAGGGGGAGAGGAAAGAGAGAGGGGATGTTAAGAGGGGAGGGAGGAGGGGGGAGAGGAAGAGAGAGAGAGAGAAAATGATTGGGAGAAGGGGGAATGGAGGGGGAAATATGAGAGTGACCGAGGTTGGCTCAAAAAATTTCTTATACTTGTATTCTTGGCTGTGGGCATTCGAGTGTGAAAAGACGTTGAGGGAAGCGCTATTTACTGCTATTTTCACCTACATTTCTTCTTGACTATTTTCAGTGTATTATATGGACTGAGAGTGACTGCAGAACAGCCCTAACACTTGCTAAGCTTACGACTTTTATTCGTTTTCAAAGCTGAACTGGGTCGAGGCAAAGAACCAACACTACACACAGGCACAGATACAGATAAATAGATGTAGATCATGATAAATAGATACGATGCAATAGATATAGATAGATAAGATAGATATCGCGGTGGCCGAGTTTGGAAGGCTAAGAATTCTCGTTTTCCATTTTCAGCAACTGCGTCTTAGGATAAAGTATTCAGTCGCGCTCGCTATAAGCTTGTGAGGCCGATCGAATTGAGACTTATTGGTTCAGATGCTCTATTATTCGCCGTCGTTTGTTTGGCTTTATTTACGAATCGTGGAATTTATATTTATAGCCCTGTTGGCTGGAGAGTTGTTGCGTTCAAGAAATGCAAATAGAGTGATTAGAGTGGCTCTGTTGAAAGGATTTTGTTCAGCGTGAATAATCGGTTATCAAGATCGCGTGAAGGTTGGAAAAGCTTAAATTTTATCGGGTAAAGAGCTGTGTGTAGGTAGCACTTATCACCCAACATCTTGGCCACGGATTAGATAGATAGATAGGTGGGTAGATGAAGAGATAGGCAGTTAGGCAAGAGGAGAGAGAGAGAGAATTACAGGAACAGATACGGAAACATACATAGATTAGGTGAATGGCAAAGAAAGGGAATTAAAGGCAGAGAAACTGAGAGATAGATTAGACAGTAGCAGAGGAGAGAGAAAATCCAAAGAGAGAGAAACAGAAAGTTCCTAAGGAAGAGGCAAAGGGGGAAGGGAAGGAAAAAATCGAAAGAGAGAGAGAGAAAGAGAAAAAAGAAAGAAAGGGAGAAAGAATTCCAAAGACAGAGGGATTGAGAGAGAGAGAGAGAAAGGGAGACACTGAGAGAGAGAGAACACGTGAGCGAGCGCTGGTTTGCGCCCACACTCAACTAATCAATCCCAGGTTGCGTTCATTAAATTCATCATCACACTGTATGCATCATGCCTCCCCCCCTCCCCCTCCCTCTCCCACGACTCAACACTTCACCCTTATAACGAGGGATTCGAAGGGTGGTGGCCTAGGTGACGGGTAGTTTCGCCTGCGGTATTCTCCTCTTTTTTTATTATCATCGTTATTAGCGTTATTACTATAAAGCTATTGCTGTGTTAAGTCATACTAAAGGAATGTGGTTTGTGCATTTGTCCCGACTCTCGCGTCTGTTGCCTCGAGGGCGGGACTTGAGGGCTTCTAGGCTGAGGCGCAAGGTCGGATCGTTACTGTCCGAGGCATTCAAATCCTGCCACGCGAGGGATCCGATCGCCTGGTCGTGCAGCCACAGAGGCGATTTCGTTCTGCATTTGTCCGCCGCTGCTGTTACTTAAACTCCCGAGCGCATTTCCCTTTTCGTGTTGCTTTAGATGAAGAGAGATAAGAAGGGTATAGATACGAATAACATGCCGTAGGTAAGAGAAGAAGAAAAAAGTTAGAGAATGATTTAAATTGGAATCAAACGGTTCGAAATTATATTAATGCCAGCTTATAATAATGGTACGCGAAAACAGGCTCCATAAATTTCCCCGTGCGTGGTTGCTTCGGGCTTCGCCAAGGGCACAGCTATCTCCATGCAGTATTTTTGTTCTTTCTCTCCTCTCCTCCCTCTCACTCTCTTACATTCTTTCCCTCTCCTGCTTTCTTTCTTCTCTTCCCTCTCTCACTCTCTTACATTCTTCCTCTCATCTACTTTCTCTCTTCTCTTCCGTCGCTTACTCTCTTCCACATTCTTCCCCTCTCCTTCTTCTCTCTCTCTTCTTCTTTCATTTCCCTTCCACCGTAGCTCATGACGCAAATGAGAATACATTATCCTGGGTGCCTTAGTTGACAGAAAAGAAAGGAAAAAAGACCCGACAAAGGCATTTTTCTCTCTCTCAAAGTAACGCCACATGTCTCAGGCGATGGCAGGAGCGGCTGTCGGACTGCGCTGTCACTTTCGGAGAGACAAGGAGAGAGAGAAAAAAAAAGTGATAAAAAAGCCAATTGTATGTATGTCGTTTGATCGAAAGGTATTTTATAACAGTCATGATAAACGGACGAAACGTGCAGATGTTAATTAATGTTTCTGTTCATAAAACTATAGAGTGTGCATGTGTATACGTCACCAGATAGACAGACAGATACATGCATACAGACCCAGATAGATACAAAAATAGATGGACAGATAAATAGATATGATACCGCAATGGTTCAGTGGTAGTGTGGTCACCCTCGAGTATAAGTGCTAAGGTGTTCGAATCCCTTTGTGTGCCCAAGAAGAGAATCGAGTCCGATCAAAGAAGTATACATCTATATTCTGAAGTGGAAGAATAATATTGATTTGACATTTGATATATGTAGTATAGATAGATAAATAGATATAGAGATAGAGAAAGATGAATACAGAGATGGATACATGGATACAGAGATAGATACATGGATACAGAGATAGAGAAAGATCGATACAGAGATAGACAGATAGACGGATGCAGAGATAGACGGATAGATATTTAGATAGATAGATAAACAGATAGATCGCATGGGTGCGTGTGCGTAGGTGCGTAATGTGTATGTGCGTGTTTGTGTAGACTCACCATATATAAGATAATAAAAAAGGGGGATGATTAACCTGATAAGACGACATGGAAAGAAAGTGATTAGCATTTCTACTTTCCTTTCACTGATTGGGGCTGCGATACCACCCCTCTCTCTTTCTCTTTCTCTCTTTCTCTCTTTCTTTTTCTCTTTTTCTCTTCTCTTCTCTTCTCTCTCTCTCTCTCTCTCTCTCTCTCTCTCTCTCTCTCGCTCTCTCTCTCTCTCTCTCTCTCTCTCTCTCTCTCTCTCTCTCTCTCTCTCTCTCTCTCTCTCTCTCTCTCTCTCTCTCTCTCTCTCTCTCTCTCTCTCTCTC